GAGAGAGAGAGAGAGAGAGAGAGAGAGAGAGAGAGAGAGAGAGAGAGAGAGGCAGAGAGAGGCATAGAGTGAGATAGAAAGAGCAAGAGGTTAGCATAGTTTTTGCTTAACAAACAAACATAAATTAGTGAAAATTTCAGTTGTTTTATAGTTTTATATGGCTTTTGTTTATAGTCAACAAAGAAAAAAAAAAAAAAAAAAAGGGGCCCTAATCTCCCATTTTCAATGGGTACACAGAATTTTAGTAATTTCTCTTTGCCAGGGTATTTAAGATTCGGCTAAGCACAGTTTTACCTTGTTAAGAATGAACCGATATATATATATATACGATATACGATATACTTTTCGTAGTTGAATTCTAGGAATGTTGCAAGCTAAAACGAATCCTGAGCTCGTTTTGAAAAACAAAAATCAGTGTGAAAATTGAGAATGCGAAATGCAGTTGGTGTTGTTTTAGTTGATCTGGTTGTTGTTGTTGTTGTTGTTGTCAACGCATCAGGAGTCCTGTATCTGGGGACCAGCGATTCGCACGATAGTACATATCCTTGTACATGGAAGGACATGCATTTTGATTCTGTTGTGAGCAAATAATGGAAAGAGAAATGAAATGGAAAGAATTAATATGTGAGCAATTTATAGGGTATGTGATTGACTGATTGATGGACTGGCAGAAAAATGATGATTGATTGGATTGATTGATGTATGAGTGACTGACTTGGGTAGTCTGATAAACTGAGATGTGGACTAACTGATTTAATGTTCTTAAATAGTTGATAGATTGAGTGAGTTTTGATTGATTATTGATTCGGACTTGGCAGACAGACATATTTATAGATTGTCACATTACAGTATGATCTCAGTGATAGAGTGAGATATGATCGATTTAATTTTCCTCCCTGATTTTCAACTCTGATTGAGTGACTTTAGATTGATTATTGATTCGAATTGGACACACAGACATATATTTATAGATTTTTATCGTTTGTATATTTAGTATAATGAGTGCATGAATAGCTTTTAGTATCTCTCATCCACCACTTACCTTATGACGCTTAAAATCTATGTTCGTCCTTACGGTTCTATGGTGTAAACTTTGCACGGGTCGCGCATTATTACCTAATGGAGCTTTCGGTGTACTCTCGGAGCCTTGCATCAGTCGACGGAGTTGATATAACTGAAAGCATAATGAGAGGCAGAGATTGAGAAACGGGAATGAAATGGGCTTCTGACTTCAGTCGATTATTTTGGATAGCTTGAACTTGGGTTTCCCCGTTTATAGAAAATATATCATATTTATATCATTCAATCCTAGCTCTTGAAAATTATTCAAATTTGTATGCCTGTGTAGATTTCTCTTTAATGTTTTTCCTCTCTGTTTACACTCTGTTTGTTGTCTAGTTTCAGGGCTGTGCCCCTCTGACGTCCGTCCTTTGTCGATGCATATGCAAATTGATTAAACTAACCAAATATTGTTTTTTAATTATGCGCAGAGCATCGCGTTGACCGCAACTAAACCGCGCCCCGACCGTAGCCCAATTGATGAGAAATTTTATAATTGCATTTATGCAATTTTTTTTTGTTGCAACAATTATAACATTAAAAAACAAATTACTAAAATGAGGGGAAAAAAAAGAAACATATACAATTCGTCTCTAATTGCAATTGCACAGAGCAAATGCAATTCATTATTTGCGGTCGGGAGGGGGAATTCCGATGCCGAAAGAGGGGCTTGGGCGTGACCTTACCTCTTGTTTGGTGATATAGATGGGTTTATTAACTAGTATCCAGACCGTGCTCTCCCAGCAGCCCGGATGCGTGGTGGATCCCTCGTACGTGATATACTGATCCGTGTTCGGCAGCAGCGATCGCACCGATATGTGCCGTATGGGCGTCGAGAAGCCTGCAATAGATTGTTGAGAAGACTCAAGTGGATTATTAACGAGTGCAGGTAGAGTAGTTGGAGAATTTATTAGAGATAGTTGAAGAACTAATCAGACTTAGGTTCGGCTAGTGTAGATCTTGGGGATGGGTTCATCTAAAGAGATTAGGGTCTCACTAACTAAGACTAGGCTTAAGCTTAAGGTATGCTCTAAATTAGTTCCATGAGTGCCATAGATATATGGTCTTTTTCGTTTAGTTTTCCGATCTGCTATTTTGGGTTATTTTGATATATTGAGGCTATGGTAGAGATTGCGATCAGTTAAGACTTACTAGAGTTGAGAACGAGTTAGGTTAGGTCATCCAATGTTAGTTGGGTAAGGTCACGTTAGGATAGCTTAAGTAAGGTAAGGTGTCCTACCGTTCTTATTGGAATATCTGTGTGTAGACCAGGTAAGATTCTTGCTAGATCATTGTAGACGTGGCTAACGAAGGTCTTTTGGGGTTCATGTAGCTAAGATTATGTTAGGCTAGCTTAGGAGGGATATTCTCACGTGTGACAGTCGTCTAGGTCATGTTCGATTGTGTTAGGTTAAGTGTGGCCAGGTTAAACTAGTGAAAGTTAAATAAGGGAGAGCTCATATTAGGTTGAGTCAGTTAGCTAAGTGATTAGGTTAAAAAGATTTTAGGTTAGGTTACTTAAAGATGAGTACGCTAGATACAATCAAGGTAAGGTTAGGTAGGGTTATGTTAGGCGGTTAGGTAGTTCTGCCAGACTGGGTTATCTTGTGATTTTCTGTCGACTCTACACTAACAAAACGCATAAACTATTGTAAGCTACTTTCCCTTTGACATTATTTCTTGGGTCTAAAGTAAAATAACACCGTTCCAGTCAAATAAAACCTTTGAAGCTGGGGCAGATGAAGAAAGACGCGATATATATACCTTCGCTCTAATGGGCTTGACTAAAAGCCTTGGAGTGGAGCATTTGCCATGATCCCACTTCAATTTTAAGCACTTTGACATTTACAGGGTATCGAAAAAGTAAAGTTTAAGGTGCATCGGACATTCAAATGTAGTGCACATTTCGCCATGTCTCGTTCGCAATACGAAAAAAAAACCCAATGAATAATTCAGACTAGCTAGCAAAAAGTGGGGAAGGACAAGTCGACATGGGGCATGCCACTGCATGAGAGGGGCGAGCGGACTGTGGAGCGCGGTCCGAGTCTGATTTGTTGGTTGCCTTCTCGCTGGTCACTTGAACGACGGCGCTCGACTTCATTCATACAAATCATTATGCCAAGCCGGAAATGAAGCGCCTCGCGGTTTATGAGACGGCGGCAAATGGTACTAAAAAACGAGTGGCGAAAGCGTTGGGTTTGCGGTGCGGGCAGTGGAAGTTAGCCGCTAGGACTGCTTCGCTTCGTCTCTGAAGGCATTCCAAATAATCATTTGCAACAGAATTGAGAGCCAACAATTCTTACGACATCTGAATACTCTTCAACAATCGAAATACCATAGATGACCATCATGAATTATCGATAGCTTTTACCTACTGGAATGCATAGGGATAACGGCTTTATCTGAGAATTTTCCGTGTTGCTTTCCGAGTGTATTTGGAATTCGTTGTTTCGACTGTTTCGACTTTGCCTTTTAAGTAGTTAAACTTTCAAGTTGTTTTGCCAGTTGGTTCGCAGAAATTGGCCGCATATTTTCTGCATTCTGAGCTCGAGACGGGACGCTAAAGGAAACTCCAGGTTTGCCTTTATTTATTTTTGACTTTTTTCACTTTTTGCTCTGTACTTTTTTCGTCCTTTCATGGAGCTACATAAAGTTGTACGACCTGTAAAAAGGCTATTAAACTGGGTCGGTCTGTCGGTCGGTCGGGTTGATGGGCGGCATCAGATGGGGGAGGGGGGATTTGGTAGGGGGAATTATTAAGTGTCGGTTTAGTGTAATTCGAGGTTTCATTTTCGTCACTTTGCGCGGCGTTGCACGGCGCGGCGCCAATTTCGCGGCCAACGGCTGTCGAGCAATTTTTATGGCTCACTTTAGGACGTTGCCGCACATAATTATGCCGCTTGTTGTTGCAGCTACACAATTGTTGCAGTTCCACTTGCAGTTAGCAAGTTGTTGCTGCTGCGGAATGACATCATAAAAGTTCTAGCCGCAGAGCCAAGAGCCAAGAGCCAAGGGCCGTGAGCCGTGAGCTCTGAGCCATGAGCCATGAGCCATGAGGCACCAGCCGCGGACTGTGAGTTGGGCAAACTTTGCAACATTTCCGGTGCATTTTGCGTAGCGGAAATGATGTTGGCACGCCCCCTCAGCCAGAAGCGCCCCCCTTTTGGTTGGCTGATAGTGCCAGGCGAAAGTCAGCTAACGGTGGAGCTCATCAAACGAACTCGACTCCATTCCATTGATGAGGAATGCCAAAAAGCCAGTCGAAGCGAATGTAGCGATGGAACGTGCCGCGTGAGGCGTGAGTCGTGAGTCATTAAAATGTGACACGATAAAGAAGCTAAGGCTGAACTAGAGATGTGATGCGATTAATTTGCCATGGTTGTAGCTTGGAATGAGTCGTGAGTCGGTAAGTCGTGACACGATAAAGAAACTAAGAGAAAGATATGTGATTCCATACATTCGCTATGGTTGTAGCTTGCGATGGGTCGTGAGTCGGCAAGTCGTAATATGATATATCGAAATTAATGTATGAGTGGATAAGTCGTGACACGAGAGATATCAAAAGGGAATAAAGTAGTGCAATTGATAGTTGCACTAGAGGAGGGGAATTACATGTAAATCGTGTCGTAATACGATATATTTTTAACTACAGATGATATGTGAATCCTGATGCCAGAAACTTGGGATCCGGGCAATGGACTGAGCTAGCTGCATTTAGAAGCTGAGAGTAAAAATCTAAGCGCTTCATTCTACTCATAGTATCCAGTGAAAATGTAGCTAGAGATAGCACTGATTCGTGTGACGCACGTAAATAAATTTAAAAGTTAGCTTTGCAAGAGTTTAAGTGATGGGAGAATCACCTCAAGTCACGTGTGTCACGCCTTAAAGACAAAGCTAGAGATGGACTTGAAATTGAGAGAGGTTCGCTCGTATGTACTCAATAGTTGACATATGTAATATAGACATATTGCTACATAGGGACACGATGATGCCATAAATATATGTATCTAGATCTTAGTTAAAGTCTAGCATCGCTGTAAGTCGAGCCGATACTATCGCATGACTCACCTCTATAGAGAACCTTGTTGAATGTGCTCGTTATGATGCGCAGCTCGGGATTGGGCGTTTCGCCAATTTGCACCATCAACGAGAGTCCGACAATGCCCTGCGATTTATGCTGCGCCTCGGACATGTTGTGGTACAGCTCCTTGTTGAAGCCATAGATTTGTATCTGTATGGGTGTGCGTGTGTGTGTGTGTGTGGGATATGTTACAATATTAATATGACTGGTTAGTCTGGCCATCCTGTTGCCGTCGCTTGATTGACCTACCTCGCCCGGAAAACTGTAGCCCTGTATGTAGTGCTCGGAGCCGCGACTGTTCTCGGTGCCGTAGTGTATGTAAATCTCTTCGAATTGGTAGCGATAGGCCAAAGGACCTCCGGATATGTTCACGTGCTGCTTTGTGTCCTTGTCCACGCGAAAGACGAGTGATTGACCCGTGTTGTGCAGCGTGCCGGAAACCTGTTGACGACGACAGCCAAACAGAGGCAGAGAGAGAGAAGGAGAAGGAGAGATGTAGTGTGAGTGAGACGGTGCAACTGAATGTCCTTTCCGGTGTGTGTTGGTGAATGCTGCTGCTGCTGCTGCTGCTCCTGCTGCGGCTCTTACCTTGTGCTTGTCAATGTGCAGCGGTCGCAGGTATGGATCGAAGAGCAGCTTGTCGGGCACCACATCAATGGGCGACTGTCGATGTCCTTTGTTGCACATGCTCCACTGCGGATTGATGAGACCCCAGAAGCTGGGACCTGTGAAATACAAATCGCTGATTAACAACAATACTCAATGCACATATCATAAATATATGTTGATTGAGATACAGATACAGATACAGATACAGATACTCTGCTTCAATTTTGCTTATTATTTCGGGTAGAGCTCATTTTTATCGATTGAGCTATCGAATTAAGTTCATGTATCGAGAATGAACACTCCGATTGAGTTTGTATTGAAGACTTTACTTCTTAAGTATGCATTGGTCATATCTTATGAATGCATTAATAATAATAGACTTATTCAACTATATAGACCATAGGCTTAGATCAGTTCCATGGATTTATCTCGGCTGCTAGATTTGAAGTCTGACTTTAATCCTTAGACTGTTTATACCTTTTTTACTTTTGTATACCCCATTCAATTTTTGCTTTGCATTGAGCTTAAAGCAAGTAACTTACATCACATCATACCTAGAATTTCTAAACTATTCTTTCCTTAGTCCCTGAGCTCAATTGGTCATTTGACCAGCTCAGTTTATTGAACTATTGATTATTCTATATGATTCCTATCAACTGAACCTTTCGATGCATAAATTCAATATCAAAACCTTTAACTCTAGGCTTAACCGTCTCTGAGCTCATTTAGCTAGAACACTTTGGTGTACAAATAGATTAGAGTAATTCGTTCGTTGGGTATTTAAAGAAACCTGAGAGCCTGAGCTACAGCTGCACTCTGCAACACATTATATATAGCTTTTAAAGAGCCCCATGGCACATCCCAGCATCCCTCGATTGCTGATGGGTATTACAAATGGAAGGAAGTGGAAGTTTTCAACAGCTGACTGACTGTTTGGCTAACTGTCAATCGTGTTGCTCGAATGGGAAATGTGTTCAGTCCCGTCCTGTCCGTCCTGTCCGTCCATCGCCCCGTCGAATTGTAAACAACGAGTCGACAATTCAAACACCAAATGAAATTTCATAAGCTTCGCTTCACTCGCTGCCTCTCGCATCAGTTTAAATAGCAATTAAATGAACCCAAATGGGAGTTCCATTGCGTTCAGCAAAAAAAAAAAAAAAAACAAAAAAAAAAAAAAAAAATAAAAGGGGAGCCACCGACACTTGACCCTTCCGGTCGAACTCCCGCCCTTTGCCCTGAAGCGTTTAGGTAACCGAATAGTTGGCTCTCGCCTGCATTCAATTTGATGTGACAGGCACAAACTGTCGAAACTTTTCAAAACAAACTCTACCCCCGCCCCGCCCCAGAATGATTGCAGTCCGTGTGCAGCGGCCATATGGAAAAATTAAATATTTTTATAGACCGTAAGCCTCGTGTGTGCGTGAGGCCACTTGGGAAATACTCTCATAAGAGTTGATTGTCATAAGATACGGTATAGGGATACATGATATATATATGGAAGGTAGATACAGTGAAGCGATTTTAAAAACTAATTGCATTCATAACTAATCCAATTTTGTTTGAGCTTCCCTAATCAAAAGCCTTGATAGAGGCTACTACAGAATATAAGCTCACCGAAACTTGGAGTAAAAATACATAATATATAATTTAATAAACAAAAAATAAATATACTGAATAACATAGGCTCTGAGTCTGATATGTGCGAAACCCGAGCCTTAAAGCCATGAAAATCTGATTATCGCGCGCCGGTAGAGCACAATGTCAAGGGTGCTCAATGCATCAAGAGCAACAGAAATCAGTGCAGAGGCTAAGTAGCTGCAATGAATGGGTGTGCATGTGTGTGAGTGTGTGTGAGTGTGTGTCTGTGTGATATGCCACCCATTCATACACTCATCTATAGAGAGGCACACCCTCTCTCTCAATGGTAGTGCAACATTTGAGGCCACCGTCGCTCATGCCACGCGCAGCTGCTGCTCATTTTGTGTTTGCATTCATTCACACACTCACCCACACTCACTCACTCACTCACTCACTCATTCATTCACTTATTCATTTCGTTTTTGTTGCCAATGCTTTGTCTGCCGACTGGTGCTCAGCCTCTGCCTCTACCGCAGCCGCTGCTTCAGCTTCGGCCTAGCCCGGGGGCGCTGCCTCTGCTGTTGCATAAATAAAACTGCGTCCTGTTGCAAGCTGCAGCCGTGTGGCATAATAACAAAAATGGCCGCTGACCAGCTACAATTCCATCCGCACACACACACACACACACACACACACATACACAGACAGAGTTGTATTATCCACAAATATGTTTTCGCTTATTTTATTTATTTTGCTCACTTTCATTTCGCGAATTTCGCTCGAATCCAATTTAATTGCGTTAAATGACAATTTTAGACATGTGCTCCTAACTCTACATCTATTTCTATCTCTCACTCTCTCGTTGCCTCCCTCTCTTCCTTTTCTCTAGCTATCTATTATCTATAAATCAAAAGTTCTATTGTGTAACTATTTCGATAACTCTATGTCAGCCACTGTTTCAGTTATCGATAACATTTAACTGTTGATGAATTCCATTAATTCTATCACTATATCATATTTTACTCCTTTTTCATTTCGTCTTTAGCATCTCTTTATTCATTTTAAAATTCTATATATATATACAAAATCGTTGGCATTTCGAGCAAAGACCTTTCTCTGATCCATCTTCATCTTCTTCATCCGCATTTGTTCTATGTTCATTTTATTCTCTCTTTCTCTTTCTCACATCATATCTTCAGATATACTTTCCTTATACCAAATTTCTCTCATCCACTCGCTCTTTCTTCTATATGTTTTCGTGGTCTTCTTCTATATTTCTTTCCTGTTTCTTTCTCCGGTTTCTCTTCACTGTTTCTATTTTAGTTTTTCATGCATCTCATTTCATCCTTTTCCCACTCTCCTTTCCAATCCATTTCTCACTATGCATTCGCATTTGCTGACTTATTCAAGGTCAGCTCAGCTCCATTCATTCGATCTATCAACTGTTTCTTCGGTTTAGTCTTAGTCTTAGACATCTAGTTCCTCCCTTAGTAACTCTTTCTTTTCTGTGCAGCTCAACCATATTTCTCTCTCTCTCTCTCTTCATGATTTTCTTTTCATTACGGCTTCCAGCTTGACTTCCCTTTCGTCGATCTTTAGCTTCCTCCAATGATCTACCTATTGCCCCAGCTCTTCTCACTTTTCAGCCCTGCTCCCTTACATTCGCATTCCCAACTTTCCCCAGTGTATATTATCAGTATATTTACACATATGTACATTGATTTGCAGCCCTAGCCTGAAGTGCCTGCCGCAATTGAATTCATTTACATTTGAAATAAGCGCTGTAACTTCATCTGTACTCGATATTTATTTGCCTGATTGAGTGCAGCGGGTATTTGGCATTCGTTAAAGTTGTTAACGGGCGACTGCATCGATGCACTCTGGCAAGTGTTTAAATTTGCACTCAATTGAGATGCTTAAATGCACAACTTACCCGAGATGCCGTCGTATGTCCACCATTCCTCCCAGCTGGACAGGACCTCTGAAATGAAAAGGAAACGCATGTGAGACAGGAGCAGAGCGAAAAATGCATTAATGTGCCAAGGATTGAAGCAGGATCTGGGAGACAGTCGGACAAGTGCCTTGATAGAATTTCGCTAGATAAGTCAGAGCCTTCGCTAAGATCTCTCCCGTTCCCGCTCTCCCTCCCCCTCCCATTAGTTGTGTCAATGACACCCGGATATATTGTAGTAACTAGGCTGTCAGGCCATAGACCCCGCTCAGCTCGCTCCGAGGCGGGGGCCTGGCCGAGGTGTACGGCTGTTGGCAGCCAAATCTTTGGCTTTTCAATGCGCATAATTCGCTGCCAATGTAAACAGCGCATGAAATCAACTAATGTAGGACTTCCCACTGATGCCTGATGCCCATGGCGTAGACAAACCGAACGAGCGTTGCTGCAAGAAATGAGGCAGACAAAACAAACAGTAGTCGTGGCAGTGGCGCCTCTCTTCGCGCTTCTCACTGGCAGCCAACGAGACGCCAGCGCGCTCCAGGCATGTCTGGGGGCTTCCTTTCGCCAAATGCGTGTCGCATGAGTCAACATGGTTCAGCATGCTGCTATTTCTGGATATATGTATATACACACACATATACATATCTATATATGGATACTGCCATCGCCATCGCCAGCTTTCCGTCTACCTCCAATTCGGGCAAATGTTGTCGCCAGTCGGTCGGGCGCCAATAAAGTTTACACTCAGTTGCCACATTTCGTTTATGGGCAAGTTCTGCTTCCGCTTTATCAAGCGACAGACAATTTTCGCTATTTTTCTTTCGGACCAACCCCACAACCAATCTCAATCTCACACTCCCCCCCGCCCAGCCCACCAGCCAGCCTGACTCTTTGAGCGTATTCAAAATTTATGCTATATGCGTCGTGCCGCAGCGGGTAGCACACACAGAGCCAATGCGAGGCGGGTGTGCGGGGCAGGATGTAAAGTCTGCCCGAAGATGAAGCGGGACAGACAGAGGGAGAGACAGAGAGAGAGAGAGAGAGAGGGAGACGGACACTCTGCATGGGGAAGGGGGCAATAAAGCCAAAAGAAATTGCTGCAAGCCAAAACGGAAGTTGAGCAAGGGAGTCGCTGGCATCGCTGCTGCTGCTGCTGCTGCCTCTGCTGCTGCTGCCTCTGCTGCTGCTGCTGCTGCTTCCTGCAGCTACCAACTACAGCGTTATGCTATGTCTTCTTTTCAATATACCCTCACGCAGTCTGGGCACTTTAACTAATTGAAGCGAGTGAGAGAGAGAGAGAGAGAGAGAGAGAGAGAGAGAGAGAGAGAGAGGGAGAGAGAG